TTTTTTTTTTTTAAGTAAGCTTCTTAAAGACATTTTTATTACATAATTTTCCTGCTCAGCATCCTTCAGTGGCTCCCTATTGCCTTTCTCCAGTGGCTTCTCATCCCATAGTTAAAGCTATGATACTTAAAATGGCCGACAAGGCCCCACATGACCAAGCCTCTTGCGTGCCTACTTTAGTTCTTGCTCACTCTTAGTCAACCACACTGGTCTTCTTGCTGTTTTAGGCATTGTCTTGTCCCAGGACATTTGTACTCTCTGTTCTCTCTACCTGGAACACTTCCTCTAGATATTTTATAGCTAGCTCCATGACCTTGTATAGGTGTTTACCTCCTCAGTGAGGCCTCTTCTGTCTGCATTATTTAAAATTTCAGTCACAGCTCCTGCACCCCTTTCCTTCTTTATTTTATTCAATTTGTGTATGTCTTCACTAATTAGAATATAAGTTCCATAGGGTAGACGTTTCTTGGTGTATTGCTGTAGCTTTGATATTAACATAGTGAGTACATGGCATGTATTTAGGTGCCTAACTTTCCTTTCTTCTGTGTTGTGGCAAAAATTGTCACTGCACACAGTAGCTTGTATTAGCATTCATCTTTAAAACGGTATCCATTTTATCAATATTTTTCTAGATGCTAGTTCTTTTGATACTGTGTTTGAAGAAAGTATTTCCTACTTCTGGGTTCTCAGTATCTGTTGAATGAATGATTTGAATAAATTAGGGTTTCTTAAATTTTTTCCTTCAAATCAAACTAACCCACCAGATCACTGCTTCTGAAACTTTAATATGCATAGGAATCACCTAGAGGTCTTGTTAGTAAAATATAGAACAATCATGTAAACTCTATAGTAAAATATAGAAAAAAAATCCTGATTTGGGCTTGGGATAGGGCCTGAGATTCTGCAATTCTGACAAGTCCCTAGATAAGCCTGATATGTCTGGTTCATAGATTCTGATTTAGATTATAGGGCAATATGATCCTGTGTGATTTGGGGTCTGTTAAGTAATGCTGTACCGCTTCATCCTGTGAAGCTTGATATGTTTATTTATGGAACTGTATTTTAGAATGCTCATTATGATATCATATCATGTTTTCATTATAAGGACCCAGAGAGGAATTTGTCTCAGGACATAGAAATAGTTGTGTTCTTTCTCACAATCAATTGATTCAACTTAATTTTTGAAATTTGCCTTGGAACTAATTGTATTTCTCACTTTCTGTTGTCTTCTAGAAAGTATACTGCCAGAATTATGGTACACATAACCTAGCACACAATGCCTTATCACATGTATCTTCATAAATCAACATTTAACTCTAGATTAATCTAATTTGTTCCGTCCTTAGCTTACTCTTTGTCATATTTTCTTTCTTTCACTTCATTTTATTACTTCGATTTGTGACTACATAATTGAGAGAGATTTAAAATGTGGAGAAAAACAGTCATAAGCACAGAGAGAATTTCCTAAGCTATGTAATATATTTTCATTTAACTCGACACTCCCGGAAATGCTTAAAGAAAGTAGCTTTGAGGTTTGTGAAGGCACATATCCTTGTGTAGCAGCTCACTGAAGTCCCAAGAAATCATGCCATAAAAATTTGTACTCAGTCTGTTCTGCCTTCTGCTGATTGGTGGAGATGTGGAACAGAATGGTGGGGGGATTAGGGGAGACCTAGGACATCAACTAAAATAAATTGTCACTGGGTGATCTTGACAAATAACTTAAAATTTTGAGCCTTAATTTCCATGTCTGTAATGGGCTTAAAAAGAATTCTTAAAAGATCAAGTAAGCTGAACCTTGAGAAAATACTTCACTGAAATTTTCTGCATTTTAGTAGTTCATAAGAGGAATATCAGGTTTTTCTGCTGTACCGGGCACCTTGCTAGATGCTGGGATTCAGCAGTGAGCAACATGAAACTGCGATTTGATCGTAATAAATGATTTGAAGGAAGAAAACTGGAAATAAAGGAGGGGGCCAGGGGAGAGAAGATAGAGCTACTGTTTGGGAGTGGGTGATAGAAAGGCTCCTCAGTGTAGGTCCTGTCCTGTCTCAAAACTAGATTGTGAGAATTAAGTGGTTACCCTAAGAGCAGCCATTCCAGGCAAAGTACCAGGCCCCTGAGGCTTAGAGATCTGAAAACAATGAAAGACAGTTGCATAGCCAGAGCAGAGAGTGGGAGACAGAGAAGTTCAAAACCATGGAAGGTTCCCAATTGGGAACAAGTTAAAGTCAGGAGTTGGCATTTATTTTATATGAGTATATTTACCTTTCGAAAAATATCACTCTGGTTTTCGGTATGGAGAGTACATGGACACTATTAAAAATGATGAGGGGCTAGGGATGTAGCTCAGTGGTAGAGAGATGTGTGATTAGTATGTGAGAAGCTCTGAGCTTGAACTTCAGCATACATGCACTGGCACACACACACACACACACACACACACACACACACACACACATATCTGCAAGGAGAAATGATTATGTGGTTCTTAAAATCCTTTTTTTTGTGTGTGTGTGTGAAGGACTGTTTTCTCAGTCTGGCTGGTGAGCCAGGACTTCTCAGAATAAGATTTTAAAATATATAAATTGAAACTCTCAAGATTGCAAAGGAAGCTTATTGTATTACAATTTAAAAGGCAAGATACTATGCTGGGCATAGAGGCTCGTGCCTTTATTCCACCCAGCACCCAGGAGGCAGAGGCAGGCTATCTGGGGGCTATAGAGAGATCCTGTCTCAAAAAAGAAAGAAAAATGAAAACATTAAGAAATATCTGATACAGCAGCAGAGGTGCTTTTTAATTAACACATTAAGATATTGCAGAGAAATCTAATGATGATGGGACATT